AAGCCCCCCACCATGGGGGGCTGATGCTATGACGAGAGAGGCTGCAGCCCCCGCAGCACCCCCCTTCCCGTGCCACTGGTTGGACCGCTTCAGACCTGATCTGCTTCTGGGTCCCCTCACCCTGAATAGGATGGTATTCTCTTTGAGGAGGATGTGACAGCTACCAGGATGGTTCTGGAAGAGGGTTCTGTGTGTTTGGACCATGACAGCAGGGATGGGGCGCCTCTGTGACGGGACCTGTTGGTGTTTCAGGATGATGCTGAACGATGAGTGGACCATCATGAACAACAGCAGCTCCGAACTGGACGGCAAGAGACCAAACAAGTACAAGGTGAGTCCCACACGGCTGGTTCAATGTCCCAGTGCCAGGATCTGGAGTTAATCTGTGTTAATCTGGAGTTAATCCATCAGATAAAGTGTGGGTAATCTGTAGCATCTGTCAGCTCCACTGAGCTGCTTCTGGGTCAGATTTGTGCCAAACATCAGCAAGCAGACAGAAAGGAACCACCTGCTGAGCCAGACGCTGGGATTCTGGTTCTGAAGGAGAAACCAGCCTGCTGGTCTGATGGGACCATTAAAAGGAGCCAGTTAAACCAGTAACATCCCCGTTAGCTGAGCAGGTCCCCCACAGTCAGGCAGAACCGGGTCAGACCCGAGTCCTGATGCCCACCTTCAGTCTGTCTGTCTGTGTTTAGAAGTGCTGCACCGTCCTCTTCTGGGGAATCTTCCTGCTATTCATCCTAGCAGCTGTCACCATGGCAACAATGGCCGTCCTCCATCTCAGTCAGTATCCTCTCCCCTTCATCAGCAGGTACCTCACCCTCACCTCTGTTCAACAGTCCTCTCTGTATGAATATTCATCCTCTGTTGTCACGGTAACAGGGGTGTGGCCTCTACACCAGCCATTTCCACGTCCTCCAAGGACTCTGGCGCCTTGGTGACCATTTCCCGCTTGGCAGATGGAGAACCTGTCAGCGTGTTCCTGGACCCGAACTGTCCAGACTACAGCCAACACTTCCTGCGCTGGGAGGCGCTGCAGAGCTCGCTGCTGCGGACACTGTCCAATCACAACGGAGACGACTGGAAGGAGAGGGGAGCCTATCAGAAGCTAGGAGACGATCTGAAGGTGCTAACAGGCCACGCCCACAATCTGAGGCTGGAAACTGATTCGCTGAAGAGAGGTCAAGGTGTTCTGGACCAGCGGATGGACAGACTGCAGAGCGAGCAGAGCCGCATCCTTCAGGTAGAGTTACACACCTGATATGGTTTGGTTGAACAATGCAGCAGATTCCTGACCTGCAGGCTCCGCCCACCTGCACAGGTGCTGTCCGACAGCCACGCAGGTGTTCTGAAGTTAGCTGAGAGCTTCAGTGATTCTCTGCTCGGCCTGAAGATGGAGACAGAGAGCCTGAGGAGGCTGAAGAGTGAGCTGAGGCAAGACCCCGCCAAGACAGGTGAGACTCAGGTAGCAGACAGGAAACAGGCAGCGGCGGCTTCCCATATTGGACTCTGATCGTTTCTATGGCAACCTTTCTCCTCAGCCGTCCAACCCAGAGACTGCAGCAGCATCTTAGCGTCCGGCGTCTCTCAGGACGGCGTTTACTCTGTGTTTCCAACTCACGATCCTGACGGCTTCATGGTCTACTGTGACATGAGCACCGACGGAGGAGGCTGGACGGTACGCACCACACAGCAGCGCCTCTACTGGCCGGCAGGGGAACTGCAGGCAGGGGGTTTAATGAGTGTGAAGACCTAATCTAAGGGATGATAACAGAGCTGCTCCATGTGTCCCTCTGAGTTCTGAACATTCATCTGTACGACCAGAAGCAACCCTTCATGTGCTGATCCACCATGTTGTTTCTGATTCCTTCAGGTGATTCAGAGAAGAGAGGACGGCTCAGTGAACTTCTTCAGAGGCTGGGAGGCCTACAGGGATGGCTTTGGGACCACCACAGGAGAACACTGGCTGGGTGGGCTGAGAACCTATTAGTGGATTACGGTCCTCACTGTGGAGCTCACCACCCAGATGTCCTGATCAACTGGGTGGTGGAGCTCAGTTCTTAAAATAATCATCGACATAATAAATATCATCAGATCAAACATAGAGAACCTAGGAACCTTTGCTAGGAACCTTTGCTAGGAACCTTCCCTTATCAGTAGCAGAGGGCTTAGTAGCTACGTTTACATGGACGCAAAGAAGGGGACTGAAGGCCAGATCAGATCAAGAATGTTTGATGTAAACATACCAGACTGGAGACTGTGATCCGATTCGCTCCGATCAGAAAGAATTCCCAATCTGGAAGACAGGTGTTTGTTTTCCGATCCCCGTTCTGGCGTTCATGTACACACCCATCGGCATAGACAGCTCTGCGCTCGCTTAAATGATTTAATCTGATCGAACACCATCCGTCTCAAGCTGTCCGTCTCTAACTTTCCATCTATAACTGTCTGTCTTTGTGTGTCTCTAACTGTCCATCTATAACTGTCTGTCTCTGTCCGTCTCTAACTGTCCATCTCTCTGTCTCCCAGGTCTACAAAGGATCTACGCTCTCACCAGGTCTGGTGGTTTCGAGTTGCGTATTGACATGGCTGACTTCGATAACGCCACGGCGTTCGCTCTGTACTCTGATTTCTCTGTTGGCCGAGACTCTGTGAACCCGGAGGAGGACGGATACCCACTGACTGTGGATGGGTACTCTGGGACAGCAGGTACTGCTCAGCAACTAGACCAGGGAGTACTACACTGCCCCACAGCACTACTATACAGTACTACAATGCCCCACAGCGCTACCATCAGATCCTACACCTTCCCACAGCACTACTATACAGTACTACAATGCCCC